ATGCGCCCCCACTCTACTACATCTCAATTTTAAAGCAATTTTCAAATAAAATACAAATTTTATTATTTACACTATTTACAATGTTTGTACAGCTGTCCTCATCTTTATTACCATATTCACAACATTTTGGCTGGTGTAAGCTCCTGCCTTATTCAGAGGATATCCGTTAAAATTTCAAATGCATTACTTCAAGAACAGTTTTATCCACTTGCCAATTTCCCCTTGGTGATAAAAGTATCGGTTGAAGTAATCCAGTAACTTGACCCAAAGAGTTGGGAGTTCAATACATGGCCACAGCAGAGGTGAAAAAAACTTGGAGAGTTGAGTTACTAAAGGGAAATAACTGAAACTGAGATATCCAGATGAGGCATGGCATGGGGAATGAGAACAATCTACTCCAGTGGATGAAATAAGTTTCAGTTCAAAATTCCAACATATATTACCTGAAGAAGGTTGGAGCATACAATGGCTGAAAAGTTGTGTATATAGCAATAAAGATGAGGACAGCAGGGATGATGTTTCTGTTATTTTGTGAACTTCTTTGTCTGTGATTCTGTAGTGCCAATCTACAAGGATGGTCCTTGCTAAGACCTACAGGCTTTATTTGCTGGAAGCCATCTTTTCTTTTATCGATCACAACGTTTCAGCCGTTGTACGCTCCGGCCTTCTTCAGGTGGTTGGAATGTCGAACCGAACCCTTTATTAACAACACACTCCCATTCCTGGATATTTTAATATCTTGAACAGAGCATGGGTTTAAGACATCCGTATACCATGAATCGATATTCACCGGACATTACCTCAATTTCAACTCTCACCATTCATACAGCGTAAAGAAAGGGATCGTCCATTGCTTACAACACCAAGCAAAAGTCATAAGTGGCGACCCAGAGATGTTAGATAAAGAATTGGTCAGTATAAGTAGTACCCTACAACCTAACGACTACCCTGGTACATGGCAGCAGCCCCCAAAAACTGGGATAGGTGGGTACAAGAGGAGGAGGACAACAACACTCAGAAAACAGTCTGCCTTAGGTGAAGGGGTTATCAGAGAAAATACAAAGGATCTGCAGTCCATATAACACCAGGACAAACTTCAAAAGCTGGACGACACTTTGCAGATATCTCTCCCGAGTAAGACCCCCCCACCCACCATAGAGGAGAACATGACTAAAGACTGTGTGTACGCTATCCCGTGCAACTGTGGAAAGGAATATAAAGGAGAGACAGGCCGCCCCTCAAGGTAAGGCTTCATGAACACCAGAAAGCTGTAACACGAGGGGAAGTAGAAAAATCAGGCATGGCTGACCACATATGGAGAGAGAAAGGAGATCACCGCCCTTTGTGGGATCAGGTTGAGATCATAGACAAGGAACACCATTGGAAAATTTGTAAACTTAAGGAATCAGCACATATTCTAGGCCACAAAAATCTCCTGAGCTGACCAAGCATAGAGATAAATACAATATGGGAACCAGTAATAAGGAGTGCCAGAGAAAAGCAATGATAACAACATAGTTGCAATATGAACTCTGGTAAAAACATGCAATGATAACAGCAAAATTGCAATATGAGCACTGGTAAAAATGGTTGCTGAAGACATTAGGTTTATAATACCCAGAAATTCATCAAGTGGATAAAGGTGTTGGTTAGATCCAGTGACAGACCCAAAGAGTGTGAGTTCAATACCCGGTTAAGGCAGTGGAAAACTTTCAGAGGGAAATTAACAGGGGATAACTGATAACTGATATCCATTAAACATGGCACATGGAATTAGAACAGTCTACCCCAGTGAGCGAAATAAAGGGTTCGGTTCGACATTCCAACCACCTGAAGAAGGCTGGAGCATACAACGGCCAAAACGTTGTGATAGATATGGTGAAAAAGATGAGGACAATAGTCCAAATAATGTACATAATACCTCATCTCAGAAATATAGACAGACTTTGCTGGAAGCCATTTTTAATTACTGATCCAAGAATGCAATTGTAGACAGCTGACATTTTAGATATTTGCGAACAAGTTTGGTGTCATGCATGATATCCATATGAATCAGATGAGGCTATTTCAGAACATGACTTGAAGCCCTGCGTGATATCCATATCAAGGCTATAGAGCCTGGCGTGATATCCATATCAAGGCTATAGAACCCAGCATGATATCCATATGAATCAGTTGAGGCTATTTCAGAACATGACTTGAAGCCCTGCGTGATATCCATATCAAGGCTATAGAGCCTGGCGTGATATCCATATCAAGGCTATAGAACCCTGCTAATATCCATATGAATCAGATGAGGCTATTTCAGAACATGACTTGAATTGTTAGGTTAATGTTTTGGTTTTGCAGCAACTTGCTGTGTTGGGTGAAACTATCCCTAGCACAGCCTATTTTATACTCAATTTCCATATTTCAGTCAGTTATGTGCCATACGTGATACATGTTTAGGCAATCATGTATCTTTTGATACATGACTGATGAGGCAGATTTTTTCCTGCAG